GTATGGTGATGTCTGTTGGAGAGTGGTATTTGTTATTTGGTGTTGTTGTATGTCGTGGGTACCATTGACTGAAATAAGTGTGGGGTACATTAGGCCGGAAGGGGTACGAAAAATATGGAGTTGTTGTAGGGGTTGTTATGAGCGAAGTAAGGAGCTATATTTGGTGTCATTGGGTGGTGAAGTCTGAGTAACTATCTTATTGGCACTAGCTAGGGTATTGGTTGATGGTTTGTTTGATTATTTGCAGGGTTAATGGCTCCCAAAAGGCACAGGCGCTCTGGAGGCACATCCCAACGACCTGCTTATGATGAGTCCAGATTCCAATCGGAACTGGCTGAGGATGACTTCCATGCCAAAGCTACAAAAACATTCATCCATGAAATCCCGATTGATCGGGCAGCCCTCCGAGCTGAAAAAGTGGAAATGTATGAAGACATAAGGAGGCGGGAAATGGAGTTCCTATTTGCTGACCCTGCACCTGTGAACAAAATGTTGGTTCGTGAATTTTATGCCAACTGCCCATTGCACTTGGGTAGGGAGGTGATTGTGCGGGGTATGGTGGTCAGTGCTCAAATTCAAACAATTCGCCGGGTGTTGCGGCTGCCTCCGTTCACCAGTGATGTTGATTACTACCATGACAGACCCGGGGTGACATGGGAGGTCATGACAGATGTACTTTGCACAGGGGGGCGGCCCATTTGGATACGTGAAGACATCACCCTCAACTCTAACTCCTTCACTCACCTAGCCAAGTGTTGGTTGACGGTTATCTGTAGCAGGTTCCTGCCTTCTAGCAACACCACGGATGTGAACTTCAACAGGGCACTGCTGACTTGGTGCTTTGTGACAGGGAAGGATTTTGATGCGGCACGGGTAATTGGCGATGAAATGGTCTTATGGGGCCCGATGCTGTCAAAGGGATTCGATTTCCCTTCCTTGGTGACCACATTATGCCTGATGAGAAACACCCCTACCAACCCTGCCGATGGAGACTTGCCCCCCAAGGCAGCTTTCAAAGCTTCCAGTATCAGAGTGGGCAGGGGCACCCGCACTACCATTGAGATTGATGATGAGGAGGACGATCCGGTCCCTATGGCACCATCTAGGCGGTCTGTAGACAGTGCTGGACCCTCTTGGCGCTCTCATTCTGGAGCAGACCTATCTCGCTCACAGTCCTCCCGGCCTATGTTGCGCTCCTTGGAGGAAGAGGTCGCGGATCTCCGCACCTCGGTGGATGGTCTACACACACGGATGGACGCCATGTCACAGAGGCAGGCTAGATCTGAGAGCAAGTTTATGGCTTGGCTGCGTGCATTAGGAAGGGCCTGCCATGTAGACCCCAGTACCGTCTCCGACTCGGATTGAGTCTCAGGGAAGTCTTCTCACCCTTCTGCTCTTTACTGTATTGATATGACATGGGGACATGCCATGATTTTAAGTGTGGGGTGGGAGACTTTCTCTAACTGTGTATTGAAATGTATATAGCTGTTGTTGTGTTGTAACATTAGATGTGATGTACATAGGTGAGTAAGTTACATTAGGAGTAGCTGACTTGGCCCANTGATTTAGTATGGGTGGAGACTTGCTCTAACTGTGTATTGAAATGTATATAGCTGTTGTTGTGTGGTAGCAGTAGATGTGGTGTACATATGTGAGTAAGTTATATTAGGAGTAGCTGACTTGGCGCAACGACGGACACTTGTTGACCGGTCACTTGAGGGTCAAAGTCAGATATATATATATATATAAAAAAATATAAAAAAAAACTTGTAGAGGACTCTCCCTGATGACGGACTATGTGGACAGTACTCTTGAGGGAAGTAGTCCATGTAGAATTTTTTTTTATTTTATTTTCTTCTTTTAGGTAGTGTAGTACCTCCCCCTTGGTTTTTCTTTTGACCACGGTTCTTTTCCAAGGGTTTTTCTTGAACCGGGTTAGGTAGATTTTTCTTTTATAGTTTTAGGATTAAATGGGTGAAGGTCAGAATATAACCCCAAATGTGCACACTTGCAAAGAAAACGAACTAAGGGTGTAAGGTCTAAGCTTGTTTGTGGACTCATAATATATACCTTAATTGTGCACATCTTGTCTGGCTTGAACACTCGTATGATTGTGTTGATGAACTGATTCGGAATGAGTTACATGCTAAGTGTGTGTGAGTTGTTACTTGCATCCTATGCTTGCATATGATACCTAGAACTTGCCCTGTGTGTTTGCGAAGCGAAATAGAAGTCGTTTGGTTTTAGAGATGATTGAGGCATTTCTTTGTGCAACCCTTTTATACTTGAGAATCCACCTGTGCATATTACCATAGTTAACCCCTTTGAGCTGGAAACCTATTCTTTGATAACCCTATAATGAGCTACATTGCTATGTTTGAATAAGCTAATTGTTCGAACCTTTACCTCCTAGAAGCACTGGAATAACTGAAGAATATACAAAAAACAAAGTGTGGGGTGGGAGAGAATAGTAAAAGGGGGAATCAAGAATGAAGGTTCTGAGTTGTGAACTGGCAGTATACAATAAATCTTAAAAAAAAGAAAAAAAAAAGAGAGAAGAAGCCAGTGGTATCTAAAAAAAAAAAAGGGGGTCACAAGTGTAACAAAATGTGGAATAAATATTGGGTTGAACATGAAGGTGAAATAAAAGGAAGTGTGTATTAAAAGTGCTTAGGGAGGTTAGTCACTGAATCCAAATATATCCTACCCGTCCCTTAGCCTACATTACAACCTATAAAGACCTCTTGACCTTTGACTGAATGGCTCGATTAGTGGAGTATTACACTAGGGGCAAGCTTATGGTGTGTCTGTGTGGCATGGGAATGCTCTTTGCTGAGAGTGAGTGAATTCTCTATATATACGGTTCACTGTTGTTGAATTTTATGTGTGTGGAACTTCTCTCAAAATTTTGTTATGTGAGGGCATGTGACTCAGAAAGAAAAAGGGAGTCTTCACTTCTGTTAGAGTAATTAGAGTTAATACAAGTGTGTCTTGGCATGAGAGTCCGCATCTAAGATATGATTGTGCACCGCTTAGGCCAACCGTTGATAATAGTAGGTGTGACACAAATTGGGGCAATGCATTGAGCAGTTAGGCTTAGAAGTGTGGTTTAGTTGCTCGAGGACGAGCAAAGATTTAAGTGTGGGGTGTTGATAATAGGTGAATTTGACTATAATCACGCCTTAAATAATCACCTTCTTGTGTAGTTTTTAATGCTAAAAGTGATGACAAAATGCTCTTATTAGTGATTTTCATGATTTGTAGGTGATATATGTATAAAGAAGGCTAAGGAGCAGTTTTTGAGTCAAAAGTGATGAAAAAGAAGCCAACTGTGAAATTTCCCAAGTGACGTGTGCAAAAACAGGCCGAAGAATCAAAGAACTGGGTCCACCGCGGTTCCACCGCGACCGCGGCAGAACCGCGGTGGGAAGCAGCTTCTGAAGATTGGAGATTCCGCGAGGGTGTTTGGCCGCGGTTCTACCGCAACCGCGGCAGAACCGTGGCAGGCCCAGTAAACTTCAGGGACCAAAGTGTCAATTACGGGATTTTTAGACCTAAACCCTATTTAAAACATTAGACTTCGCCCAAGAGAGGCATGTATTGATTTTTTAGGTTTCTTAGCAAGGAAAATAATTGTGAAAAAGTACTCTAAACATCTTTCTTCTTTTCTTTTGATTTGATGATGAATTCAAGCTTAGTTTATTCTCCCATAGTCATGAGTAGCTAAATTCCTTGTCTAAGGCTTTGATGGAACCTATTGGGTGATGAACTTCTTGTTTATGTGAATACAAATTGCTAGTTTAATCTTTATTTGTTCAACTTCGTGTTCGTTGTAGTTAATTGACAGGATCCTCAATTAGCTGTGCCTATTTAGTGTGCATAACTTGGAAAAGAGTGCATATTTAGGGTATTGTTGAACAACACCACTCCTAGATTATTAGAGGAATCTATAATTGCGGGTTTAAAGGCGGGATTAGGAATAACGAAGCATTGGGTGCAATCTAAACTGAATTGTGCTAAATAAAGCAAGCTAGTGTATCTCGCGAGAGTGCAATAGTAGATTACTGTGATTACTCGGGAGAGATTTGCGGTAAGATTAGCGTTCATGATTGATAGAGATGTGTGGGTAAATTTGTATGAGCATAAACAGAAGGGATTCCATCAATAGGGGAAATCATTGCCTTAGCTTTTTCTCATAATTGTTTACAACCCTGTTAATTTAGTTATAGCCTTTTAGTTACTTGCAAGCTAGTTATTAAAGATCACTCAACTGAGATCTGAATATTTGAGAAGTTGGTTCTGAAGACTTAGTGGGTCTGAAGGTAGCAGTTGATAGGTTAACTCTCTGTGGATTCGACCCTGGGCGTAATACTCGGGTTATATTTGCAACGTCCGCAGAGTCTTTTTTTAGACGGCATAGTTGGGCGAGATCACCCTACAATAAACCAATAAACAAAGCAAACTAGACGGTTCGATCAAAATGAATTCTTGTTTTGACTAAATAGTTATGGATGACTTGACAATTCCAATTCGAATCGACCAATCGAATTCGGTAAACGCACAAAGAATCTAAATCTTTTTTGACCTAGATACATAGTGTAATTTCTGACGAAGGGGTGTCTGACCCTCGTCGTATGAGTAGTTGGTCAGATCTAGTATGAATTGTATTTTAGAGTTTAAATAAACTACAGTCAAATTTCTCTATAACAATCTCGTTTGTTCCAGATTTTTTCTCTATAACAGCCTCGTTTGTTCCAAACTTTTTTGGTTGTTATAGCGAAATGATGTTATAGAACATATATAACTTAGGCTTTTTTAGTGAATGATTGTTATATAACTTTGTTATAGAGAGGTCTGACGTACGGTATCTTGGAACCTTTATTTGCTAATAATGTGACATGGTATGACTGTATCATTAGGTTAACAAGTTCGACCAACATATAAAGTAGATAAATAACCTTTGAAGGCAAAACTAGAAGATAAAAGTAAAGCTACTCCTATGCTTAACAAGAACAGTAATTTTAAGGCATATCTAGCTGATCAAACCTTTTGTTTCAATAGTACAAATTTCTCCATAGCATCAGCTACATCACAACCTCATATAGATGCATATACAACTCAATAATATCCCTTCTTTACTTAATAAATTTCCCAACAAAATCAGGCATTCACAGTTCATACAAAATCCAACTGTTCTTCTCACAGACGCGACGAGGGTACGTTGTTTCCATTCCCTTGAAGAAAAGGGTAATCTGTGTACCCTACAATTGGATCTTGAGTATAGAATGTCTTCCTATTATACTTAGTTAGAGGTGCATTAAGCTTGAGCCTCATAACCAAATCAGGATTAGAAATGAAAAGGCGACCATATGACACGAGATCAGCGTCACCCTGTGCCACAGCCTCAATTCCTAGCTCCCGAGTATATCCGCCACTACAAATAAACGTCCCCTGATACGCGTTCCTCAACGTCCTCATTAAACGCGCTTCCTCCTCTTCACTTCCAAGCCTACCTGCTTCTGTTTGCCCATATGCAACGTATCGTGGCTGAGTCACATGAAGATAAGCAAGTTTGGAACCAAAATGGAGTTGGAGTTTGTTTAGTCTTTCAACAACTGCTAAACCTAGGCTGAGTGGATTTGAGTCCATGGCGTCGAGATGATCTATTGCTGGTGACATCCTTACACCTACGCGATCAGCACCTATTGCTGCAACGACTGCTTCAACCACCTGCATTATGAATTTGCAACGGTTGGCTAGTGATCCACCATACTCATCTATCCGGTCGTTGATCCCATCTTTCAAGAATTGGTCAATCAAGTAACCGTGAGCTCCATGGATTTCGATACCATCAAAACCTGCACATAATTGGATTTACATGTATTTAGATTACAACAACAACAAAAATAAACCTAGTGTAATCTCACAGGTTGGATCTGCGGAGGGTAATGTGTACGCAGACCTTACTTCTACCCTATGTTGCGGAGACTCTCCAAAAATACTGCCGCACCCGTGTCGGATTCTCCAAAATTACACTGCTTTTGGAGAATCCGACACGCACCCGGCAATATTTTTGAAGAGTCCGAGCAACATACCTTCTACCTTGTGAAGGTAAAGAGGCTGTTTCCGATAGACCCTCGGCATGTAGTTAGATTAATGCAGCAAAATAAACAACAAAAAGTAGTAGCAATAAAACTCTTTATTTTGTGCTATTCTTACTTCAAAAGAAAGAACAAGCTAAACTAGTATTCAACGTTATGATTTATGACCATATAAGGAACATATATCTTGAATCACCTGTTATAGAATGATAAAACAGAGAAATTCAAACTGAGATGTCTTAGAACTAACCTGCTTCAATAGCATTTAAGGCTGCCTTGCGATAATCTTCAACCACTTGTGAGATCTCATAGATTCCAAGAGCTCTTGGTTTTGGATAAATAGCATGAGTTCCATCTGGCATTAGTATTCTCCATCTCTTTGATATTGGCTTCTCAGTTGAAGATATTGGGGCATCTCCACCAGGTTGGTACACTAATGAATAGATAGATATATGCAAGCTTGGTTAGACAACTAATAATTTGAAACTTTACAACTTCTATGTATTAAATTAAGGGTAGAGGGGCGGTTCCATTATTTATCGAGTTTTAGAATCCTACGCAGTTGACTCTCCGATATTTCATGGTTAAAAGGGCAGCCTAGTCCGCGAAGTATCCCGCCAGTGGCGGAGGCAGGATTTCCACTAAGGGGCTTCAAAAAAGAAAAAGTTTAAATATTAAAAGATACTGTGGCCAGTGGGAATTGAACCAGTAACCTCACAATGATTTTGAAGCCCCTTGAACACTGAGCTATATTTGAGTTGTGTCAAGGGGATTCAAAATATAATACATAGAGGCACAAAATAGATTTTGCCTTTTATGTATAGTATAATTTTCCGACGAAGAGGATTTGGATGAACCCCCTTCCGTCCCTCCTAAATCCGCCCCTGCATCCCGCATTTAAGGGCCCCATCCCAAGGGGGTGCCATATAGGCAGTCTACATGTCAGAGGCTGATTTAATTGTTCGAACCCTGACCTACATGTCACATGAAGACGACTTTACCGTTGCTCCAAGGTTCCCCTTCCTCGAATATTTCTCGGTTATGAAAAAATAATATGTATGAACTGTCCCAAGAAATGAAGATATAATGAAAGAACATCCAGTATTGCCAAAAAAACTATTAAAATTTAGCAATGCCTCCTTGCCATCAGCAATTGGTACAGCTAATGTAGTGGCCAACAACTCTATTAGAAAGCGAAGATTGTCTAAACAATATTGGCACTCTTGATCTTCTTTGGTGTAAATATAACCACATTGAACCATGTTTTTTTGTTTTGGTTAATAATCGTGGTGTTCGAGTCAGTTTTATTACCTTCATGAGATGCGCGACCAACATGCCACAACTGACAAAATATGACAGCACCTTTTGAATGTACTACATCAACAATTTTTTTCCATGCCTCTACTTGCTCCTTTGTGAAAATCCCTGGCACATGTGGAAACCTGAAATACCACATAATATATGAGCAAAGAGGGTGGATCTCACATTTTTATAGTTCCTTCGTTACAATTTATGTAACATTATTTCCTAATTACCTCGTTTTAAAAAGAATGACACATTTTTATCTATACAAATAATTTAACTTGGAACTTTTCTTTGTACACATAATGAGAAAACTTTTATAACTACACAAATGTTATGGTATGTTTGAGACGTTAAGTTTCAAAAGTTTATAGTCACGAAAATATTAAAATTTATTTAAGATCACAAGTTTTAATATTTTTTTTATTTTTTTCTTACATTCTGTACCGAGTCAAACCGTCACATAAATTGAAACTGATATCGTACTATTTACTAACTTTATAACTTTGATATTTATTAGCAAAAAAAAAAACTTTGATATTTTCCTTTTTTCCTTTTGTTCTTCTCCAATTCACGGTATTTCCATGTGAAAGTCTGACATGATTTACACTGTCTGAAAGGAGATATCAAAGCTTAATTTGTTACTCAACTTCATTAGATTTTGAATCCTAAAGATCAGATTAATAATTTCATATACTCTCTTTATTACAAAAAAAGAAAAATTATAGTTGTTATATGAGTTACAATTATATATACCATCTTACAATTATATATACCATCAGTGAAAGAAGTTTTTGCACTATCAAATCACGTTTAATAGGTATCTTATCTTACTTTCAAGATTACAATCTCATATATTAAAGAGGCTTACCTATAAATATCTTTTGGATAATCTGATAGTGCAAATTTTTTTTTATAGTAATTATGTATATAACTTAAACTCTTTTTATGTACTCTCCAAAAATGCAGAATTTTATTTCCTAAGTATCTAGCAAAGCAAGCTACACTCAAATTCAATTGATGAAATAGATTATGGTAAAATATATTATGAGCCAACATTACCGGGCCCACCTTCCACTAATAAATTATAGTAATGGTAAAATATACACGTGGCATGATGTGACTCGTCCTTAACAGTGCTTTTCTCATAGTGCAATGTGGGGCCCAAGCAGCAATAATTAATTATATCAGCAAAAAATTCTGAAATAGGTAACAAATTTAATAATGACCTCTTAGACTAAGGGTTAATCTCACCAATAAATTATTCATGAGCATCTAATGAAAAACAATAAGGTAATGTATGGAAAGTCCCATATTTTTTTTATACAAGCATTTAATGCTTTATTTAACCAATGTATAATTCTTTTTCAACTTTTGAAGTTGCAAAAGTAAATTTAACCATAAAAAATATACTCCCATCTCAAAAAGAATAAAATTATTGTTATTATTTGAGACGCGAAATTCTTTTTTTAACTATAGAATATAATATGTGTTGGTTCGGTTCTCATGACTCCCGTCCCCACTTAAGTTTATTAATTTGGAAAATAAAAACTAATTAAAAGGAATCACAAGCCTGACTGCTAAGCCTCGGGCGACGAACATAACTCAAGAGTATACATAGAAAGCTCCTCTAAAAGGCAATACATATACTTTGTTTGAGCGTTACATTAATAAAAGGGCAACTTGGTGCACTAAGCTCCCGCTATGCACGATATTCGGGGAAGGGCCGGATCACAATGGTCTCTTATGTGCAGTCTTACCCTGCATTTTTGCAAGAGACTGTTTCTACGGCTCGAACCCCTAACCTCCTGGTCACATGACAGCAACTTTACCAATTGCGTCAAAGCTTTTCTTCGGACATTACATTAACAATTCTTTTGAAATTATACAGACTTTCTAAACAAAAAATCATGCAAAGCGTGTCTTTTCGGACCCACAATATTCCACTAGTAAATTAAGTGGTAGATGTACACGTGTCAAGAAATTACTCGCTTAATAGTAGTTTTCAAATAGTCCAATGGGGACCAAGAGCAGCAATAATTGAATACTCCTAAATATTATTTACCAAAATGACCCTAAAATATAACCAAATTTACGAACATACCCAGCTGAAGTTGGAGAAATCATAGTGCCTTCAGTGATGAGAAATCCACCGTCGGTTGCTCTCTGCGCATAATACTCCGCCAGTGCCGGCTGTGGAATACTATTCAGTGCTCTGCACCTTGTCATTGGAGCCAATACTATCCTGCCACGTGGCAAACCAAACGTAAATATGATCCCCTATCAAGGTTAAATATGTCCAAGAAAAAAAAATCTTCTCCCACATTTTCCCAAGAAAATATCAAGAATAGATTTTTACGTGATCCAATCATCTCAATATGTAAAAGTTGTAAAATTTGCCGTTTTTCTTAATCAACCTGTTAGCTTGCGCACACCTCGACTAATGTCATAAGATACCTGCCACTTCTCACTAACACCTCGATTTTTCTGACCTATATATATATATATATATATATATATATATATATATATATATATATATATATATATATATACCCTTTTGGATTCTTGATCAGAAAAGCTGAGAAAAAAATTTATTGAAAATTTTCAGTTCTTAAAACTTGGAGATGTTAATGTCCATTTAGAGCTTGAGATTTGTTACATGATCCAAATATATGAATTATAAGTACACCCTTTTTTATTCTGATTTAGAAAAGCTTAGACAAATCAGTAAATTATAGTAAGTTGTTATACAGAAACTAGCCTATGGAGAATATTGGTAACTAGCCCATGTTAAATTAATTCTTTTATTGTGATGAGATTTATCATATGATCCATTTATATAAAGAAAATACCCTTTTGGAAACTTGTTAAGAAAAGCTCAGAAAAAATGTACAAAGATTATTTTAAGATGTGATTAAAGAAACAAACCTGTGAGAAAGATTGAACTTTCCCATTTTGTAAGGAGAGAATAAGCTTGAGTTGTTTCCATCTTGATTAGCCATTGCTGAGGAGAGAAGAGTGAGAATTATATTTTTTTTTCTTTTCTATTTTTCAAGAATTTGTTTAGGAGAATTGGCCACAAAAGAATGGTGAAATGGAGCTATGATTTAATAGTGAGATTGGACGGCATAAAAAAGTGGAATATGCAGTAATTAGTGAAGGTCGTTTTCGTGGAACTTAGAATTGATGAGTCAAGAAATAATAGTGAGGCACGCTGTTCATATGGGAAATATTGAACATGAATAAAATAATGTACATGGTTTGACTATAGATTTCTGGATCTGATTCCTCCATTTTGACTATATATACAGCTACCAGGAAGGAGGTTGCACAAAAAAAAATTAGTGTCGTATCCGGTCAATACAACAAGGTAGTCCGGTGCACAAAGCATCTCGCATTCATGCAGGATCTAGGAAAGGGTTGTACCACCAAGGGTGTGATGTATTCGGTTAACATTATTTTTAGTATCATATAATAGGTAGTCTGGTGCACAAAGCATCTCGTGCTCATCTAGGGTCCAGGAAAAGGTTGTACCACCAAGGGTGTGATGTATTCGGTTGACATTTTTAGTATCGTATTCGGTCGACAATAAAAAGTAGTCTGGTGCACAAAGCATCTCGCGTTAATTTTAGTATCGTATTCGATCGACACTAAAAGATAGTGTGGTGCACAAAGTATCTCGCGTTCATATAGAATCTAGGAAAGGGTTGTACCACCAAGGGTGTGATGTACTCGGTCGATATTATTAGTATCATATTCGGTCGACACTAAAAGGTAGTTCGGTGGACAAAGTATCTCGCGTTCATGCAGGGTCCAAGGACTGCACCACCAACGGTGTAATGTATTCGGCCAATATTTTGTACAATCGTATTCGGTCACGTATCTTAATTATTTTATCGGGTACCTATCGCTTCTCATCGTAACTCTGCTAACTAATGATCAGGCAATTATCATTAACACTAGGTTATATGTGAAATTCGACAGATAAACATTAATTAATACTGTGGTATTGTCAAATGATAATTATATAGATGTCTTTTCACCTTTTAAACTTGTGACGCTTAAGATATGATTATTTTATTTGGTATAAAACTATAAATATCAACTGTAAATAAGTATTTACTAATATCATTTGTAAGTACTTACTTCTGTATATAAGATCATATGCTTATTTATTTTTATGATTTGTTGATTTTTTGCATAACTAAAGAAGTATTACATTTTTTTTTATATATAATCATCTGATATCAAAAATCCAAAGCTTGGACAACAATACCACAAATTATAAGTCCAGTGACTTTTGGGTTACGTACTATTCAATTTTATATTATCCTTTTTTCTTTATAAAGCTTTTGGCTCTAGTTTTTAGTCCAGTTGATGTAGTACTTTTAATTATAAATATATGTTGCTTGATTTGTTAGATCTGATTATGACTAAGAAACATAGTTAATATTGTTACCATGTGATCTTACTCTCATTTTATATTCCTTTTTATTTTTATTATTGTTAAATTCTATTATACTAAAATTTGCACGTTTGTCTACATTATTGACGGACAGTTGTGACTTGTGTACGGTGGAATAAATTCATTCGTATGCATAGGTTGTCTTTGTTCGTGGCGAATCTTACCGCATTTTTTATTAAAAAAATTCATTTCACTTATCCAAGAAAGTTTTATTAAATTTGACTACAGATGCGGACCGATGCTATAGGTAAAGGGGTCAAAAGCATCCATAAAATTCGATAAAATTTTTATGTATACAAATATATATTTTTAGAAATTAGTGATATATTAGTAATTGACTAAGGTTATACGATAGCGCGGCCTTGATATTTACGACGATATACCCAGGTTTCGCACTAATCGGGAGTTGGTACCTCCTGTTCTTCGTTTAATATCTCTGTCTCCCTTGTTAGTATCCAATTAGTTTGCGTTAGTTTAAGCCTAATTCTTGATTGCCTATAATTATTTAGTGCATCTGCCTGGATATTTTTCTTGCTAGTAACTGTTTAGGGATTTCTAGACTGTAATTTGATTTCTTAGTAGCTGTTTTGTTGGCCTTTTTTTTTAGAGATATTGTTATCACTAGTTTAATTCTTGCTTATCTATTTGTCTTATCTGTACGCATTTCTAGTGGTTAGAGTTGTAAGTGTTAGACCTGCCTCCTTTAGTTTAATCCTTTGTTTGTTTTAGCGACAGTTCTAGCGTAATTTTCCGTAGATTATAGTGGTTGGAGTGAGTGATGGTGGAATAAGGTCATGTGCTCGGGTGGGATGGGGAGGGGGGCGGGGGCGGGGAGGCAAGGGTGGCAAGGGAGTCTCTAGGATGAGAGTAGGGTCCTGGAACATAAGAACTTTGACGGGGAAGTCTATAGAGTTAGCGAAGATCCTCCAGAAGAGAAAGATCAACATAGCTTGTGTCCAGGAGACTAGATGGGTGGGTTCGAAGGCTCGAGAAGGCTAATGGCTATTAAGCTGGTTGTGGGAGGGTCTACTTTAAATGTGATTAGTGCTTACGCGCCTCAAGGGGTTTGGACGATGAGATTAAGAGACGCTTCTGGGAAGAATTTGATGGGGTTTGGTACGTGGCATTTCGCTCACCAAAAAGTTATTCATCGGAGGTGACTTAAATGGTCACATTGGGGTGACATATGGAGGGTATGACAGTGTGCATGGCGGTTTTGGCTTTGGAGTTAGGAACGAATGATGTACTTCGTTGTTGGACCGTGTTAAAGCCTTTGATTTGATGATTGCCAACTTGTGTTTTCCGAAAAAGGGAGAAGCACTTGGTTACATTCCGGAGTTCGTTGGCCAAAATCAAATTGATTATCTACTCCTTCGGAAGTGCGATAGGAGTCTGCGCATGGATATATTGCAAGGTTAAACCAAGCGAGAATCTCACGACTCAGCATAGATTATTGGTGATGGACTTATAGATCATGAGGAAGAGGAGGAAGAGGGTCGTGTATGGTTAACCTAGGATCAGGTACGGTGCTTTGACTAGTGACAAAGAGCACGAGTTGGGGGGGGGGAGTTATTGGCTATGGGAGCCTTGAGGAGCAGTGGGGACGCGAGTTGTATGTAGACTACGACAGCGGAGTGTATTAGAGTAGCTGCGAGAGAAGTGTTAGGGGTCTCAAAGGGTTTCTCTGGTGGCCACAAAGGTGACTGGTGGTGGAGTGAGGAGGTACAAGAGAAAATGGAACCCAAGCAAGCGGCATACTTGATGCTTATAGAGAGCATGGCCGAGGAGGCGAAGAGGATGAACAGGGAGGGGTATAGGAGGGCTAAGAAGAAGGCGAAGTTAGCGGTTACTGCGGCTAAGACTGTGGCATTTGGACGTTTGTATGAAGATCTTGAGGCCAAAGGCAGGGACAAGAAGCTATACAGGCTAGCCAAGGTGAGAGAGAGGAAGGCCGGTGATCTGGATCAAGTTAAGTGTATCAAAGATGAGGAAGGTAGAGTTTTGATGGAAGAGGCTCAGATTAGACGAAGATGGCAGACATATTTCCATAAACTCCTCAACGAAGAGGGTGATAGGGACATTGTGCTGGGCGACTTGGAGCATTCCGAGATGCGCCGGGATTTCGGGTATTATAGGCGCATAATAGTAGAGGAGGTCGAGGGGTGATGTTCTAAACGTCAATACCACACAAGAGGGGTGGGGGGTGATTTGTGTGGTACCCAATTTTCGCTTTAGAAGAACTTGGTTCTTCTAGGTGTACTTACTACTACTGTTTGCGGAATTAAGAGTGCATAAAATAAAGAACACAGAGATTCTTACGTGGACAACACCTGGCTCAAAAGGTGAAAAAACCACGACCTACTACTCAGTAGGATTTTCCCAAACTTCCACTAAAATTACTGAGCCAAAACAGCATTTACAAAACTCTTGTAAACCTAAGGATTAAACTCTAATCCCAGTGTGGCACACAGCCTCAACTGTTGCGACACTTTCAAGTTAACTCTAACTTGAATACTCAAAGTACCTAATACAATTGCTTCTATGAAAGCTGGAAAGGTACAACTTTAAACCATCTACTACAATTGAACTAGAATAAGAATAAACACGATGGAATTGGTTCTTCTATCTTGTCCAAGTAGCTTCAGGAATGCACACTTGAATTTCACATAAATTGCTTGCAAAATTGCCTCGCTCTTTTGCTCTCAATTTAGTTTCACTTCTGCGTTTGTGCAATACCTGTAAAAGAGAACAATCATTGTTATTTAATGAGTTAGTAATCAGAGTTTGATTGAGACTCAATTGCTGATCCTTTGTCGAATTTGAGTCCTATAACAATACAAACTCCAACCCTATCCTTTATCCGGATTGTGTCCTCTTCCCATGAGGATACTTTCGTTCCTTATCCAATATGCAACCTTTTCGATGAGTTCAGGAGATATTGGTGCTTTATCTTTGAGACTTATCTCCTTCACGTGCATCTCACATGTATAGGTTGATAAACACCGTGTCTCACATGATGGACCTGTTCCATGACTGAGTGCATTTGTCATTCTTCAAAACTTCACTTGAACTTGGGCCAACAAATTCCCCCTTTTTGATGATGACAAACTCTGTGCTTTTACTGATCAGAAACTCAGCTTAATCATCAACACTTTAACTTATCATCAAGGACTAGGTTTAATCAGGTTATAAATATCACACTATTCAGAATAACAAGTAAAGCACAATATCTCTTCCCCCTTTTGGCATCATCGAAAAGTTGCAAATATTGTGAGTCCCAGATGTTAATAATTACTCATGGCCACTAGGGCAACTGCAAGTGAAAATATGGTTCAATTAACCAATAACTAACAAACAAAATTAACTATTTAGATCAGAATCTTCATAGAACAAGAGAAAAAGCAAATTGTCATTGATTAGGATATGCTTTCACAAACAGACCACAAAAAGAAAGACAAACTTCCAAATATGAGCAACAAAAATAGACAAAGTCCCGAATCTGGGTCACTGGGGGTTCTAGATAGGTTCAAAAACAAGAACTGGAGGACCTAAGGCTTGGAGGAACTAGAGGGCTGGGTTTGGAGAAGGTTGAGCATATTCTGAAGCATTCCTTCACTTTTCTCCTTTTCTTTTGCTAGCTCAGCTCGAAGGCCATCTCTTTCAGCTTCCAAATCAGCAACACGAGCCTGAAGCCTAGAAATTTCAGCATCCTTAGTTCCACACTCTTGAACCAAAGCCCTAACCTTGCTATTCACTGGTGTATTCATAGATGAACCAGGTTCAACTAGGGTGGCATTGACAGGATAGTCACAAGCCAATAAAGTCCTAACACCAAAATGCTCCTTGCTTGATGCCATATCCCATTTCTTCAAAGGCACCCTTAGCCTGTCCAGCACAGTTGTAAGTATGAACCCATATGGAGTTGCATGTGCCTTGGATCCATTAATGATCTTGTCCAGTAGTTTGACAATAAAAGCAGGCCAATTTATCTGCTTTCCACTCTCAAGGCATTCCATAAGCACCAGGTCCATATAGTTGGCAGTATGCCTCCTCTCCTGTCTAGGCAGCAGGCATTTGTTTACAAATTCAAACAACACCTTGTGCTCAGGTCTCATCTCACTCTTCTGAACAAATCTGGCTTCAGGTACATCTTCAGCATTTGCAGCTTCACAAAAGTTCCAGTGATTTGGAGAGCAGTGGGGAGAGATTCCAGACATGGCCACCTTTGCCTTGTGTAATCATCATACCCTTCACTTGGTATGTCCAGAATCTCACCCAGCTTGATTGTGTCAAACTCCACTTTTACACCCTTCACCAGGCTGGAGACTACTCCATTTTTCACAATGGCATTGGCCATAAACTCTATCAACTCATTTCTAGCCAGCCTTCCATCCATCTCAAGGACCATGTCCTTCCACCCTTGTGTAGTAAGAGCATCCATCAATCTTCTCATGCCTGGCTCATCCAGATCTTTCAACAACCTTCCTTTCAAAATTTTCCTTCTGCCAAAGATGGCAAACCTATTTTGATCTTTCTCAGATTCCTCTTCTTCTTCACCACTCCACTCTTCATCTTCTTCAACAATTTTCTTTTGTTTTCCCTTCACAGCAGACCTAGTTCTTTTGGCTAAAGAGGATTCAGCAGGTAC